GAGAAATACAAGCAGAGAGGGAAAATCTTTACAGAGGTCATATATATAACTTTACAACAGATCAGGGATTAACAAATCATAAACAAGACACAGTAAAACAACCAATCAAAAATAACATAAAGAATGGGATAAATTTCGGATCTTTTTGACCGAAAGCTAATGCATTGGACGTGACAGAAAGCTGTACTTACTTTTAACCAATAAGAATGAGATTACAAATATCTCAACACTCCCCCTTAATCGCACAATATAGAAACGATAAAAGCTGTTAAAGATAAAATCATTGAGCTGTTTAAAAGCACAATTTTTAAACAGCTCAATGATAACAGTTCATAGAACATTTGCTTTTGGACAGAGCCTTAGTTAACATATCTGCAATTTGTAAACCTGGTTGTACATATTCAATTTTAATATTATTTTCTTTAACAGTCTCACGAGTAAACTTTAATTTTAAATCTATATGTTTCAACCTACCTGAAAAGTTTTCATTAACAGTACTTTTAATACATCACTAGTTAGCTTCAAAAATATAAACATTTTTAACACTGGAAATTTCATTTACATTTTTTATCCATAAAATACCTTGAATGCCTTTGCATAAAGCAATTATTTCAGCTTCTGTTGATGAAAGGTGGACAGTTTGAAAACATTATAAAGTAACCAGTATTTGATTTCCTATCTTGAGTATCTCCCCCCTCCAAATCTGCATCTATATACAAACATAAGTTTGCGTTTTCCAAATCACCCTTTTTGTATGTCAATTTTAAATTTAAAGTGTTTTTCAAATACCTAAGAATCCTCTTTAGAGCACACCAGACAACATCAGTAGGATGCTCCTGCAGTTAGCTTAAGCAATTTACCGCAAATAAAATATCTGGTCTTGTGATATATGCTAAGTAAAGTAAAGATCCAATTAATTCTTTGTATGGGCCATGAAATGCATTTCCTTTCTGAAAATCAGCTGCAGTAGATTTTGGTTCAATGGGAGTTTAGGCTGCTTTACAATCAGACATTTTTAATTTATCAAGTAATTTTTCAGTATATGATTTCTGATCTAAATATAAACAACCGGACTCGAACTTCAATCTAATGTCTAAAAATTCTGAGACACTTTCAGATTTTGACATTTGAAATTCTTTTGATAACAATGATATTATAATATTTGTTTCTTTTTACATCTGAACCTGCAATTAATAAGTCATCTACATAAAGAGCCATAATACTTTCTTACAATTTAGATTTCTGATGAAAATACATTGTTCAGAGTCCAGTTGCTTAAAATCTAATTTAATAACAAAATTAAGAAATTTCTGATACCATTGTCGAGGAGACTGTTTAAGATCATATAAACTCTTTTTTAAGTTTACATTTCTTACCACTCATATCATCATATCCTTTTGGCTGGTCCATGTAGATGGTTTCATCTAACTTACCGTTCAAGAGATCCGTCTTGACATCTAAAGTAAAAGTTTGCAAACCTTCATTATTAATAATTACATAATTACCAGGATTAAACGTAAAGAACACATACTAATTACTGGAGAAAATGTGTCTGTACAGTCTATGCCTTCCTTTTACATGAAGCCACAAGCAACAAGTCTGGCTTTATAAGTTCCATCTCGTTTTTTACATAGGATCCATTGGCAGGAAATAGCTCTTTTATCAGGGGGTAAACTTTGTAGATCCCAGATGTTGTTATCTTCCATAGATTTCATTTCCTTGTCCATAGCTCTTTTCCATAGTTCTTGTTCTACTTGTGATAGATTTACAATATCTTCAAATGTCAGAGTGGCTTGTTGTGCAACCATTACTTGGTAAATCTCAGGATTAGAACACCTAACTGGTTGTTTCTTTTCTCTTGTAGATTTTCTTTGTTCCGCGTTTAATTCGCCATTATCAGTGTCTGAAATTGATTTGTCTTCATTTTTAACGTCATCATTGTCATTTTCACTCAAATCAGAACTATCGGGAATGTATTTTTTATTTTCTACTTTCTTCTTTTCTTCATTAAATTTAACATTTCTGGAAATGATGCCACATGTTTCTGGAATCATTAAACGATATCCCATTGTGAATAACTTAAACATATCATTCTGACAGATTTTTCATCTAGTTTCTTTCTTTGGGAATGGTGGCACAAGAGTATAAGCATTACAGCCAAATACATGCATTTTTGTCAAATCAGGATTTTCACCGTACGTCAGAAAATAAAGAACACGACTGTCAATTGAACTATGTGGGAGTCGATTATTTATATAAGCAGCTATAAGTACTGCTTCACCCCAAAGGCATTTTGGTAAATTTGCCTCAAGTGTCATTGCTCTAGCTTTTTCCAGTACATTTCTATTTGCTCTTTCAGCAACAGCATGTTAGAAAAGATGTATAGGGAGGTGCAGGATCTATTTTTACACCTGCTCTATTAGAAACATGATAAAGTTCTTCACTGACATATTCTTTGGCATTGTCACAATGCAGTTTTGTGACAGTTGGATTCAATTTAAAAAATAGCTTAAGTTCATCAACAATGTCACTTTTTTTCTTTTGAGCAGTCTTATTTCCATAAATCGCGAGTAGTCATCAGTTGTAATCATGAAATAATTTCCCCCATGGAATGTTTGAGGTTCTATTAGAACACATATATCAGTGTGTATAGTTATAAGCGCTTTGGATTCTTTTATGCGAGGATTCTTTCCTATAGGCAAAGCACTTTGTTTGACACAAACACATATTTCATAAAAAGTTTCTTTTGCAGGAAGATTCATTAGTTTTAATTTTTGATCACATCAGTGTCCTAATCTTCTGTGCCATAAATAATCATTCTTTACTGCTAAAGATGTGAATAGGTTTGGTGAAAAATCACTAAAATTTTGCCCGCATTTGTCCAAATCTAAAACTTTTGTTTTTGTTTTCAATGTAAACTATGTATTTAATTTTTAAAAATTACGCTCAAATCTGCTTCTTCAATATTTTTGACAGAAATTAATTGTCCGTTTAATTTTGGAACATAAAGAGCATCTTTCAACATTATTTCAACACCATTCTTAGTTTTGCCGTAAATATCACCAATTCCTTCTACTTCTAAAACCGCCGATTTAGACGTGCACTTAACAGTTCCAGTCTTAGGCTTAATTGAGGTAAACCATTCCTTGTGAGAAGTTGCACCAGAATCAATAATAAATTGATCATGCACAAGATTTCCAGCCATAAAAGATATTGCAGGTGATGCATACTTGATTGAATTTGCCTGCTTTTTAGAATTATCAAAACTTTTCACTTTTGAAATGACCAGTTTTTCCATAGCTATGACAGACGAAGTTCTTTTTTCTACAGAATTTAACAGAATGTCCTTTTCTTTTACAATAAGTACAAAACAGCTCTTTACGAGCACTAATAAAAACAGAGTTGTCCATATTTGGTTTAGAATACTTTATTTTAACTTTTATAATCAAACATAAGAGATTCACAATCAGTAAGTCTGCTTGTAACAAAATCCAAACTCAAATTATCACTTGGTTGATTTTCTAGTGATGCCTTAACATTTTTATATTCCTTTGGCAAAGACATTAAAATGTAAATAATAATATCAAAGTCACTTACTTCAGATCCAGAGACGCGTAGATTACTAACCAAGTTCATTATGTAGTCGATATGTTGTCTCATTGACAGATCTTTAGATTTTTTTATGGTAGCTAAAAGTTTACGCATTAAAATTTGACTCACTGCTCCTTTAGCACTATACATAGCTTAGAGTTTCTTCCATATTTTACATGCCGTGTCTTTCACGTTGAAGAGAAGCAATAATATTATCACTTAAAAGTGCAAGTTTTAAGGCATAAGCCTTTTTTTTTTTATTTCAAAACATCTGCAGTTTTGTCCGCAATTGTTTCTGTTTCTAAAAATGTATCCATTTCCTTTGCAGTAAATACCGCTTGAACTCTTCGACACCAAACAGCAAAGTTATTAACGCTATCAAATGGCACGACACCAAAAGCTTCCCTTTCACTTCCGGTTGAAAAAGCCATCATTCACAAAAAACCAAAACAAAATCATGTGAACGATAAATTATGGCACTGGCATAGAAGGTTCAATTAGAAAAAATATCAGTGCATTTTAATTTTTGACGAACCATGCTCTGCTGTTGAACATAGAAAATGCATTGGTTTGCAAAACAAATATTTATTACAGAGCATTACGCAGAGTTACATGCAGAGAAATACAAGCATAGAGGGAATGTTTACAGAGGTAATTTATATAACTTTACAACAGATCATGGTTTAACAAATCATAAACAAGTCACAATAAAACACCCAATCAAAAATAACATAAAGAATGGGATTAAGTTTCAGAATAATTCGGACGTGAACGAAAGCTAATGAATGTGTCGGGCGTGACAGAAAGCTGTACTTACTTTTAACCAGTAAGAATACGATTATATATATCTCAACAACCTTGTCTAATATAAGATTTTTGAATTATATCTCATGTTTACTACAGTATAGTCAGCCACAAAAACTTGTTACTTGAATATAAAACTGTTAGATATCTATTTGCAAAACTGAAAAGTAGCACAAAATTTTAAAGCTGGGGGATTGCATGTTGGTACTTTATACTCAGCCTCTTTACAAATTTATGTTTGAAGATTTATTTTGCTTGCACAAAACAGTATGTAAATTTGAAATGTGAAGTATAATTTTCCAAACATGTCGTTAGAATTGAATAAAATATTTATGATATACATGAAAAAGTAACATTGCTTAAAAAATGCTGTGTCAGTATTTGCAGAATATTAGCTGTGTATAAAGTATATTTTATTACATATATTTGAAATAATTTTTGAAATATAAATTTTAACCTTGCAATATGTTGTTAGAGTGTATTATGTTTTTATACTATGTTACTTTTTTTATTTTGTTGTTTTTATTGTATTATCAAAAATTAATCATGTTTTACTGGAGTCCTTATTATTTAAAATATTTCTTAATTTTATTTTGTAATTTTAGTTCCAAAGAAAATGTTCCACATAATCTGTCTAGAAAATATTTTGTTGGTCATGTTGTGCAAGATATAAAGGTGAATATTATTTTACTATCATTTACACTGTGAGATTTAGGAAAGAGAGAATTTTCTTCTGAATACTTACATGAATTTTTTATGAAAATTTTAACTTTTAAAAAATATGAGGTCATAAAAACTAATTCTTATTTGATTGCAAGGATAAGTTTAGCATTGTTTAGATTAATGGCAACTAACTTCTGCACATAGGAGGGCACGATTTAATATCTTCGCCATTTTCAACCAAAAAATAAAAGTTAGATAGTACATACTGAAATAATATTTATTGTGTTTATATTAACTAATTAATTATTATATTATTAGAGAATTACATATATCGACTCTTTCTGTATGATATTCTTAATTTTTGCCATTTTTTTCAGCAGTAAATGAAAGAAAAATTAAAATGGTGACAATGAAAATAAGTACTCTTTATTTTAGAAGTCAAACAAGAACAATCAGTGTTATATTCGTAAATTCTCCAGGATCAGTTAAAAAGTGGTTGGCAAAATGTGGCTCGCGAGCTGAATGTGGGTCTTTGGCTCCATGAATGTGGCTCTTCCACAAAATAGCACATGTGGGCGCGCTCACAACGAAAGCAAACCTTGAAAATAAGCACAAAGCCCATCAAATTTTAGACAAGCATGAAAACATATCTGCCAATGTTATTCCTAGGTGAGTTTTTTTTTGGGGGGGGTACCAATTTCGGCATTTTAATTGCACTGATTATGCAATCTCAAATTATGTTGTCATAGTAATTGCCATATTTCAAATTTTAACTAATGAAATGTTTTGAATTAATATACCATTCAATGGCAGTTTTAACTTGAATGAGAAACCAAATAGCATAAAAATAAAATTTTGTTTCAAAATATCAGGATTTTTAGCTTCTAGACTTTTCAAATTTGAATTTTTTTCCAGTGTCTGAAACAAAAATTTTCCTTGCAACTGAATTTAGGCTGCGTAAAATATATAGACGATGTTTGGGTAGTATATAATGTGAAAAAACTTCAAACTGGAAATGCCTAAAAACCCATTATGTTTTGACATGAAATTTGATTTTTATTTGCTATATCAAGTTAAAATTGCCATTGTACTGATTCTAGTAAGATTTTTACTGATGTATTGATAAATGGGCCATTGTACTGATTTCAGTACAATTGCCCTGACAAGAAGGATACTGATATCCACATTCGATTGTGTCCCCGCCTCAATGTGATGTCTGCTGTTACCTGGTCCTCAATCACTTTGCTATTTCTGGCCCTATTCATTCCTTCTCATAACAACATGGCTACAAAGAAGAGCAAAGAAAAATTGAAAATGAAATCTGCCATGAATTTCAAGCTGAATAGACTGATACTTTCACATTTGTTAGAAACTCAAATGGCCTTCCGACTGTCTTATTTGTCAGGAAAAATTGGCTTATAACAAGAAATCAAATGTAAAGAGACACTGCACAAATAAACATGTGTCATTTTGAACTAAATTTCCTCTCAGTAATGTAAGGAAGAAAGCAGTTGAGGAATTTCAGAACAGTGAAGAAAAATCAATTTTTATATTTAATTACTTGGATGCAATTTTCCAGTAAGGGTAGTATTGCAAGTTTTGTTATTATTCAATAGACTGATAAAAGAGAGAAACCATATACAGGCAGCGAATACATAAAATGTTGTTTTATAAATGCATCTGAAAAGCTATTTTGAGATTTTAAGAACAAAGCGGATATTCTGAAAAAAAAAGAGTTACCATTGCCTGCTGAAACAATGAAAGATAGATGAGTCAAAATATCATCGAATGTAACCAACCAGCAAATCAAAGTTCTTAAATTGGTTTCAGCTTTATTAATAGCAGTTGTCAGATCTTGCAGGGTTCGTACAGTCCTTAAGAGTTCTTAAAAGTCCTTAGATTTTTTGGAATTGATTTTTCGTCCTTAAAAGTCCTTAATATTGGCCAAACTCAGCAGAAGGTCCTTAATTTTAATCATCTGAAATATCTGTCTGTTTCACTTTTTGAGTTGAATTAATTTTTAGAAATTTTTTCGCGATTTCTGCCGTATATATGGTTATCTTTTGAATGGGTTCATGAGTTCTAATTTGTTTCTATTTCTAATATAAATGATGGATACTAAAGTTTCTAAAGCAAGAAGTGAAACATAAGCATTTGAAATTCATTTTTTTTTTTTAAAGAAAAGCTTTTAACTACTTTTTCGCTTTGTGGATGTGAATTCTTTAATTAATTCGGTCTCTAAATTTGGCGACTTATCAACATTTTGGCTATTTTAAGATCAGGTTTTATAGAAAATTTTTAATTCCGAGATCTGAGAATTTTCGAAGATTTTTTTTTAAAACATCGTACATTGATTATTTCATTAAAATAATGGTAATATATTGAAATTATATTTAAAAAATAACATTAACTAAAACATTTTTATTTTTTGCTGTCAAATAAGTTTGATTTTGGCACTTATTATATAAAATTTTTTAATCTGAAAATAAACAATGTATAATGCTGTAAGCACAATTACAAAACTCTTAGTAAAAGCAAAATTATCTATGTAATTAATTAAAAATGTCTTTTTTTAAATCTTTTCATAGTAAGAATTTTTTCCATGTAATTGTCTCAGAATATGCATCAGGTTTCTCTATAAAATTAATTTTACACTTTTTTTCCTCCTCCTTTTTTTTTTTTTTTTTTTTTTTTTTGTTTTTTTTTTTTCCAAAAATATTTGTCTTTTTGCTGTTACAGAATTGGTAGGGATAATTTTTCTTTGGGATTTTAGACATTGCAGCTTAGAAGGAGTTGAAGAGAAGATTTATAGACCCACGATTCTAGATGATTCGAGAAATATGTGACAAAACGAAAAATGTCTCCATGGTATCAACATGTAGTGGATGTATTTTACAGAAAGTTTGCAATGAATTTCTTACTTTTTGGGGAACGTCTAGAAGAACAATGAAAATATAATATTTGATTGTTTTACTTCTGATACTAGAATCTTAACATGTTTATCTTCCCTTAATTTTCTCTACTTTTCATTTGACTCAAGCATGGAAAATATCAAAATTGCTTCTAATCTTATGACATGGGCAGGCATTGTAGAAAGGAATTTTTTTATTAATAAGGAAATTGAAAACTTACAGTTTAAAAGATTCATCTAATATGTCTTAATTCATTATACACATAGCTGGCTCTAGGTATTTTCCCACCTGATGTAACCTCTGTGGATCCTAAATTATGTTGCCTAGTGCCTTTCTAAATTCTGCTTCCAATGTAGGCTCTAAATTCTAAAAGTTTTTCCATTTCTAGATTTTGTTGTTCGGTGTGTCACTAAATTCTAAAAATTCTGCCACATCAGCTCTATTACCGGCCTTTACCATATATATTTCATATTTCTTCTAAATGCTCATATTGCTAAAGAAATAAAATTAAGCGCTTTTTCTATACATTCTAAATGCATTTAGTGTTTTTTAGAATAACATAAATCCTTAATTAAATCCAAAAAATCTAAAATGAAAAGGGAACGTGTTGAAGAAAGAAATTGAATACATAAAGAATATTCATCAAAGATATGTGCAGTTATTATTTTTAAATTACCCCCATTGTTTATGATTTCACCTTTACTATAATTTCCCATTTCTATTTCCTCATATGAAGATTTACTGAGGCCAGATTAATTAAAATTTAATTGTATAATCTTTGACCACTATACATTTTTAGTTTGAATTAGACTGTTTTTGTTTAATTATGTCACTGTTAGCTGTAATTGATTTTGTTAGCATCAGAACAGGCCTTTATGTTCTAAGTTCTTTTTAAATAAGAGGCTTATTTAAACTTTTGTCTGATATTGTAGTTACTTTCAGACATAGCGATAATATGCTTCACGTCTGTCGGGGGTTTGGGGCTATTTAACTTTTACCAGACCATGTAAACCCTCATAGGTGTATTGTGGAGAGGTTGACAAGTTAGGAGATAAAGCACGTAGGAACTAGCAAGAGCACTGGTTTTTATATTGAGACAAATCCCTTATTGTTAGAAAATATGCTTAAAGAGAAGGAAATTGATATAAACTAGCCAAAATATTTGGAAAGGCTTCAAATTAAAATGACGTATAAATATTTTGTTGTGATTTGTTGTTTAATTACACAAAAAATGTCAAGCGTGTATCTACAGTAGATCGTGAGAAAAGGTACATTGAAAATGGCCAATTTAACATTGTCGGTTTCCGACACCCCTTAAGAATCAATGTCATAAATTACATGTATATTAAACTGGAATTTTTATTAGATTTTTATTTAATATGGCTTTATTAACAATATTGTTAAAAAATAAAATTATGTGGCCATGTAATCCTAAGGACTAAGTTATTTAATTCTAATTTAATTATTTATAACTAACTGCTTATCCTTAAAAATCATCTCTACTGTTAAAAGCGAGTTATTGCCTTTCATAATACTCACTGCGGTCACAATAAAATATACAAAAATTAAAATTCAAGTAAAATTATTCTTTCATCTAGTGAAACTTAAAATAATACCAAATAACTTATCACTCTGGTGCTTTAATGGCTTATTGGAACCTTGTCTATTAACTCGGTTACAACCCCTGGAACTCTAACGCACCTACGCACTACAGCATCAAACAAAGCCTGATAATTTCAAAACTTACCCAACCGTGCCTACATCAGGCTTTTCAGGTTTGTTCTAATCACAGATTCTCTCTAGACAAGCAGCAGCGGTGACAACATTCAGTCTTTTGGTTATGAATCATCTGATTAGATCTACTCTCTCTTTTACCTATGCTGTTTGAACATAAAATCTACCTGCTATTTACTGAACCTGTAACTGACCTATATGTGACAAATGAGACTAAAAAAATCAACATAACGCTAACTGTAGTAAAACGTAATGTCACTTATCTTCTATCAATATGTCCAACTATTATAAGTATAAAATATTTAATGCTACTTGATAAATTGCTTAACCCTCTAAGCGGCAAGGCCGTATATATATGGCTTAGAT